CAATAAGGATACACGAACACCAACTAGCCACTAAGAGACACGACCAATTCTCACTGGCCTCAATACACACGGACAAAGAAACATGCACATTCATAATAGCACAAGCCAAACAGCGACATGCCAGGGAATTCTTGGAGGCCTGGCATTCCAATCGCAGCTCCATCAACAAACACATTGAAATGGACCCAATATACAAACCGCTGAAAAACAGAACCGGTAGTAATGCCAACCACCCCAGCAAACTGAGGCATATAAATAACAAGCGGGATGGAATACCAACGCTTCACCGGAGGCGCACTGACGATGTTACCTAGCAGGGTGATGAAACGTCTGCAACCAAACACACTAGCTCGCCAAGTAAGTCTACAACCTCAGGCTGTGAAGAAGTTGTGGGGCTCCTAGCAGAGATATTTATACCATTGACAACCACAGGTGAGGTGCCAGAAGACTGGAGGGTGATTAATGTGGTGCCATTATTTAGGAAAGGCTGTAAGGAAAAGTGAGGGAACTAGAAACCAGTGAGCTTAACATCAGTGGAGGGGATTCTGAGAGACAGGATCTATGTGCATTTAGAAAGGCATGGACTGATGAGAGGTAGTCAGATAATGATGTCTCTCCAATTTGAGTTTTTTTAAGAGGTGACCAAAAAAATAGATGATGGCAGTACAGTAGTTGTTGTCTACATGGACATTGGCAAGTAGACTAGTTAGTAAGGCTAGATCATGTGGGATCCAGGGAGAGGTAGCCATTTGGATATAAAATTGGCTTGACAGTAGGAGACAGAGGGTGGTAGTAGGCAGTTGTTTTTCAGACTGGAGGCCTACTACCAGTGGTGTGCCGCAAGGATTGATGCTCGATCCACTGTTGCTCATCATTTATATGAATGATTTGGATGAGAATGTAGGAGACATGGTTTGTGAGTTTGCGGATGACACCAAATTTGGTGGTGTAATGGACAATGAATCAGGGTTTCTATGAATACAACAAGATCTTGATCAACTGGGCCACTGGGCTGAGGAATAGCAGATGGAGTTTAATTAAGATAAATGTGAGGTGTTTCATTTTGGTAAAGGAAACCAAGGCAGAACTTATACAGTTAATGGTAGGGCCCTTGGGGGTGTTGTTGAACAGACAGATCCTGGGGTGCAGGTACATGGTTCCTTGAAAGTGGCATTACAGGTAGACAGGGTGGTGAAGAAGGCACTTGGCACACTTGCTTTCATCTGTCAGAGCATTGAGTACAAGAGTTGGGACGTCATGTTACATCTGTACATGACATTGGTGAGGCCACATTTGGAGTACTGCACACAATTCTGGTCACCCTACTATAGAAAGGATGTTATTCACCTGGAAAGGGTGCAAAAAAAGATGTATAAGAATGTTACAGGGACTGAAAGCTTTGAGTAATAAGGAAGGTTGGATAAGGTGAGATTTCTTTCCCTAGTGCTTAACAGGGTAAAGGGTCACCTTTTAGAGGTTTATAAAATTACAAGCATCATAGATATGGTGAATAGCCAAGGTCTTTTCATTAGGGTGGGGGAATCTTAAACCAAAGGCTAGTGAGAGTGGAAAGATTTAAAGAGGACCTGAGTAGCAATTTATACACAGAGATGGTGCATGTATGGAATGAGCTGCCAGAGGAAGTGGTAGAGGTGAGTAAATTAACATTTAAAAGATATTTGGGCAAGTATATGGGTTGGAAAGGTTTAGAAGAACATGGGCCAACTGTAGGCAAATAGCACTAGTTCAGTTTAGGAAACCTGGTCAGCATGGACAAGTTGGGCCAAAGGCCTATTTGGATGGCGTATATCTCTATGACTCTAACTGGAGAAATTAGATTTGGGATGGCTGTTTGAGCGTAAATACACATCTGACATATGGGAGTCTTTTAAAACCCTGTTGATCAGAGTTCCAGACAAGTGTGTTGCTGTGAGGATGAAAGATAAGGCTGACAAGATTCTGGAACCTTGGATAATAAGCGATGTTATAAGTTTAGTTAAAAAGAATGTAACGTTTCAGAAACAGCAATCAGACAAGGTCCTTAGACTCTAAAGGAAACAGAAAAGAACTTCCAAAAGAAATTATGACGGGTGGAAGAGACCATGAAATGTCCTTGGCAAGTAGGATAAAGGACAATCCACAGTGTATTATGTGTATATTTGGAGCAAGAGTGTAACTTGGGAAAGGGTAGGTCTGCTCAAGACCAAAAGAGGAAATTTATGTGTGAAGTCAGAGGAAGTGGGTAGGGTTCTTAATGAGTACTTTGCAACAATATTTGCCAAGGAAAAAGTCATGGATGAGGGTAAGTTTAGAGAGGGGTTGTTGATATTCTGGGGTATGTCCATACTAAGAAGGAGGAGGTGTTGGATGTCTGAAAAAATATTAATTTAGATAATTCCCCATAGCCTAATGGGATCAGTTCCAGGTTGCTAAGGGAGGTACGGTTAGGGTTAGGGATTGTTGAGGCCTTGACAGAGACCTTTGTGTGCTCTTTAGCTACAGATATAGCTAGAGAGTAGCCAATGTTGTTCCTTTGTCCAAGAAGGGCATTAACAGAAATTATAGCCGGTGAGTCTTACAATATTGATAGGGAAATTATTGAAGACAATTCTTCGGGACAGGATGTACTTGCATTTGGAGAATAGACTGATTAGGGATAGTCCACATGGTGTTATGCAGGGAGAATGATTTGTCACAAGCTTAATTGAGTTTTTTGAGGAAGTGATGAAGATAATTGAGGGTAAGGCAATGGATGTTGTTTACATGGACTTTATTGAGGGACAGTGTCCCTCATTTTCAGGGTTACAGGGATAGCGTAGAGAGTGGGTCTAGGTGGGATGTTCTTTGGAGGATCGGTGTGGAGTCGATGGGCCAAAAGGCCTGTTTTCACACTGTATTTCTGAGATTCTGGTCCAGAAGTGTTTTTTCAAATGGATTAGTATTATTTGACACTCCCAAATTGAATTAGTGTTTTCTATCATCATAATATGAAAGTGCTGCATGTAAAATATGTTTTAACAATACTTTTAGAAAGATAGTATTGCTGAAAAGAGAGCCATGCTGTCAAAGATTTTTAACTTGAACCAGAAACTTTACAGTATGTCACGTTTCCTTGCAATGTGCCAGTTCTGTGTTTATTCCTACATAATGAAATAGGTGGGCTTGTTTTTCATTGCACAATCCTCTCATCTTGTCTTGACTCCTACATTTCAAGATTCTCTGTCTTATGGAATTAAATTGGTTTTGTAATTGATAGCTTAATGTGCTTGAGCTAAAATTTGTAGAGTAATAATTCAGTTAAATAGTTGATAGAGTCTTCTCAAAAACTTTAGATTGTTAGAGTGCTTAGAAATTCTATGAAACTATAACGTTGCATAACAGATCAAATAATCAGCTCCTACTTTAAATAAGCAGTTTGAGCATGCACTTCTCAAAGTTTCTGCTCTTCCCCACGATCGTTCAAACGATATTCTTGGGGGTCAGTTTGCTTGGACAACTGGTGTGTGATGCAGAGAGATGCCAATAGCGTGGGTTCAATTCCCACCCAGCTGAGGCTACCATAAAGGACTCTATATTTTTCAGCTTCTTGCCCCCATGTGAAGCATAGTGACCCTTGGGTTAAGCCACCCACCAGTCATCTCTCTTTATTGAGGGAGCATCCCAATGGTCCGGTAAGACTGTGGTGACTTTACAAACAATATTCTAAGCTTTTAAGAGTTTTTCTCTTCTCAATAGATGTTTTCATTGAATAGATTTCAATATATGAGATTATTGGGCCGAAACTGTTCAACTCCAGCTGTTTGCTACCTGCATTAAGGTTGAGGTGATTAGTATCAGTCTGTATTGATGTGAACCACCTCACTGAAGCTAAGTGGCTGTTTCCCTGTCTTTCCTCAGTGTCAATTTAAGTATTGACTCTTACATAAACCAGGATCACTGGTTCTTGGTGATACTGAACTAATTGAAGTATGTTAAACAACATAAAATATACCTTACAGATATTCTACAGAGAAGATTTAATATTCCCTCGTAGCTGTTATTGGTATTCCTGATGTCTCTATCCAGCTAGGAATTTAACAAATCTTCTGTAACATATCCTAATTATGTACTATCCCGCATTGAATTATCAGTGTTTGGTGAATTTGCCACATGTCTGACAATTGGACTGCTTTATCTCCTTGATGATTCATTATTTTGTAGATCACCAACAAAGTGTCTCTACAGACCCCCAGGCAACCACGAACACACACCAATACTCATGATCCATGCCCATTTGAGTCTCTCTTCCTGCGGCAGAGGTTTCAGAGCTTTGCCATCTCAGGTCCGATGAGACCTGACTCTGGCACAAATGCGGCCTTCTACCAGGAGCATCCTGTTTCCTGGTAGCCTAGCAATGGAGGATGGATCGCAAATGGTACTGCTTCCTGACTTCTGCCTTTGACTTGAAATTCCAACCCAAGGTGTCACAACTTTTTACTTGGGTTTCTCAATTTGAAGAATAAGAAAAAGTGGCACTATCAACTGAACCAGGATTTGCAGATCTCTGTAAGGAAGTCAGCACATATTAAAGTTTGCATGTCTGAGAGGGTCAAGTGTTGTTTAGGATGAGATGTTAAACTGAGCTCTTGTCTATCATCTTGGGTGAATGTAAAAGATCTCATGGCACTATTTGAAGAAGAATTGAGTAGTTTTATCTTTGAACCAACCTCATCAAAGCAACAAATTATCTGGTAATTCATGTCATTGCTGTCGGGGAACTTAATTTGTAAATTATCTGTCACATTTACTTGCTGAGTAATCGTTGTTACATTTCAGAAGTAGTTCACTGGCTTGCAGAGCAATTTTGGGTGTCCTGAGGACATGGAAACCATTGTATAAACAAAAGTTAGTTTTCTTTTCCTTCCTTCCACCTTTTATATGAAATTACAATGAACCCAAAGCTTTTGAATGGCATTTTCGCTCATAACATACTGAGTAAAGTTGATTATTTCCCATCACAGAGACGAAACTCCACTCCTGGAGACAAATTGTATGTTGGATCATAGACAGTACCTGGAAAAAACTTCAGAGTCCGTTGTTCACTGCAGGAATAGTGACATTATTATTGAGTTCATTGTTTATCAGAGGACCTTACACATGGGTACAATATTTTCTAAAGTGGTAAGTATACTGATTTTATGTGCTATCACCTCACATGTTCATTGTGGTGTTACTACACCCTCTTTTCTCCCTCACATCCAAGTGATGCTAACTATTTGTACTATTTCAATGCCACTCATTACCCTGGTAACCATTGCGTAGCAGCCTGTGAAGGTAATTGATGTGTATTTCTGAAAGGCTCTGGTCCCCAAATCGCTCTGCGTGAAATTATGCATATCCAGATTACAATGACAATTACAACAATCAAAAAACACTGGAACATTGTCATCAATAAGTTTGTCGATTTTAAACATTCTTTGACATTCATAGCAATGACTACCAAACCTGGATATTAATATCTGGAGAGTTATGAAATGAAGAAATAAGACTAATTTCCTAAAAGGTTTTGGAAAACAAATGATAATTTGTGCAGGTAATAAGCTTGTAACGTAAATGCTGCCTCTATATCAAAACATCTGTAAATTATTGATTGATTTAACAGCTTGCAATGGTTTAATAAGCAAGTAAATTAGAGACTTGTTTTCTAAAGAAACTGCTAGCTGTCGCTCCTCAAAAATGCTTATTTATTTATAGAATTAAAATTTTGAGCAGATCTGTAGTTTTTACAGTAATTACCATAGCTTGACTTTTGAAATTTGAATAAAATTACCCCCTATTATAAATGAACAGTTGCAACATAATCTGCAACAGAGAGGTTGCCATGAGGTATAGTAAGAACGGCCGATGCTGGAGTCTGAGATAACACATATGGAGCTGGAGGAACACGGCAGGCCAGGCAACATCAGAGGAGCAGGAAAGCTGACGTTTTGGGTCGGGACCCTGAATTTCTGAAGAAGGGTCCCGACCCGAAACGTCAACTTTCCTGTTTTTGTGATGCAGAGAGGTTGCCATGCTGTGCTCAACTCTACAGGCAGAAACTAAACAGCAATTAATCAGCAATAAAACAATTCCTGACTTGTTAAGTATATCGTCTGTGGTGCAAGTGTCCATATTTTTAAACATGATTTAGCTGAAACACTAGATGGTGATACATCGTATTGCAAGACAGTGTGCATTCATTCATTGCATCAAAACGCTATTAATATGATTGTATACTAATGGCTAATTGGATGATAATGAATTTTGGAGCTCTATATTTGTAAAGCTCTCAAGCAATGCATTATGCATCAGTGGAGGAGCCAGAAAGCATAATAGTTCTTTAACATGTCCCCTTCATTCATGATGAGCCACTGATACAAGAGTTCAGAAGCTTGGCATGTATGGACTTATGCATGACTGCATGTCCATAGTTTCTTTTTCATTACACTAAGTTTGCATTGCTCTGAAATTATAACGAATGTTCTGTATTTAAATGTACTTTGTTTTGAAGAGTAACTAACTAATCAAACTTTGATTCTTTTTTCCCCCTTTTTCTTCTGTCATTACAGGCCACTTAGGATAAGAAACAGAAGTAAGTCTTTATTTTTCTAAATCATTTATTGCTTTTTACATAAATTAAGCAGTACAGTAATACTTTGTCCCTTAATTTGGTTCAGAGAACATTGCAATTGGTCCTTTAACTGATCTTTTGGAATACGGAAGAATTGAATGGAAGGGAGGTACCGCTCAAGCTGAACAAATGAGAAAGGTAACTGTAATGCACATTATTACTATTGAGGCACGCCTTGTTAATGGAGTGGGTGTGGAAGTGAGAATTAGTTGTTGTGTCACAGGGATAAAGGGGGTTGTTAACTTCAGCAGCAGGGCATCTCAGGCCCCAGAGGATAGCAGGTGCTAGGTCAGGGTCTAGATGGTTTTGGGGTACTGACGAAGTGTAGTTGGGATGTGTAAGGTAAATTGAGGCTTCAATTTAATAATTGTGCTGGAGTATTTAATTATCTGATTTTTCATGAATGATTATTTACTTAACTTCACTGGATTGCTCCAAATTCTTTGACTTAAGTGAACACTGTCAGAGGGTTCCAAGCTTAGCGGAATTGTCCAGCAGAATCTCCAATTCATTTTCCCAGGCAATTCCTTCAGTCTGCAATGATGAAGATTCTACAGGATCTGCACTTTGGAAAACCTAGGTCAACGTGTTTTGTAACAGTGCAGTTTGTGTTCAGAAAATAGTTATGTCAAATACAAATGGATTGTTGCTACATAATTGCAATTGAAAGATTGTTGTGTTGTTCTGTACTCACAGTTACAAAGTCATCTGTAGCAATTAATGTTCATTTGATTTAGATCAGAACTTGAATTTTGCTGAAAAAGGCACTTCTTTTCAAACGATTGGTATGGACCAAACATATCTTTGGTCTGATTCCTCTGATCATTTCTGTAAACAATTTATAGAAACATCTTGCCAATCAGAAAAAGCCTTGATTTCCTGTTAGCCAGCCAGTCTTCTTTCCATGCTAATATGCTCCTACCTACGCTGTAAGTTTTTACTTTCTGCAATAACCTAATCAAATACCTTTTTAAAATCTAAGCGCAGTACATTCACTGGTTCTGCTTTTCTTTCTCAAAGAACTCCAATAGATTGGTTAATTGTGATTCCTCTTTCACAAACCATGCTTAGTCTGCCTGATCACTTAGAAATGTTCAAAGTACTTTGCTATAACTGTATCTAACATTTCCCCATCTAACGTTTAACTGATGTTAAGTTAACTGGCCAGTAGTTTCTTTCTTTCTATCTCCCACTCTCTTCTAACAAAACTTTTCCAAAGCTAGGAAATTGTGGAAAATCAAAATCAATGCATCAACTATCTCATCAGTAGCTTTCTTTAAGATCCTCAGATGAAGTTTATCATGATCCAGGGACAGGTTAGCCCATGGGTCCAATAGTTTGCTAAGTATCATTTTCTTTGTGATACTAATTTTCTTAGGTTACTCCCTTCCTGATTTACAGCTGTTTCTGCAATGTTATTTACATCATTTATAGTGAAGACCAGTACAAAATGCTTGGTCATTTTATCTGATATATGTTTTTAAAGTGCAGTTAAGGAAACTAATTGCTTCCTACCATTAAGAGTGAGCATTAGTGATTATCTTGGTGATATGTAACTAACAAGTATGTAAAATCTAGAAGTACACATGGTTAGAAAGGATTGTGGTGTGACAGCTACATGCAATGAAAACTTTTGACATGAATATCAGGTACGATCTATTTAAGCAATGATTTATGACCACAATAAAGCAATGTTATACATTACGTGGCTAGAACACAGGAAGTTCAAGAACTTCAAGTTCTGAGGAAGGATCACCGGACCCGAAATGTTAACTCTGTTTTTTCCCTCACAGATGCTGCCAGACCCGCTGAGCTTTTCCAGCAACTTTGTTTTAGCTCCTGATTTACAACATCTGCAGTTCTTTCAGTTTTTATTTTTATTCAAGAACTTGCTACTTATCTGTAAATTTGTAAGATATGCTTTCAAATTCCTTAACATGATAAAAAAAGTGTACGTTAATTTGATGCTGTTAAATCAAGATATGATATTTAATCCTTAGAATGGTGACTCTTGATACTAAATGTTAAAGATTGCATGTATTATAACAGATTGGATAAAGTTTTTGGGAAATTATTTTGGAGATTATTTGCTGATTTGTGAAATGTTTATTGTATGAACATCTTTGTGTTCTAGGCTTATGAAGATATTTATTTGGTGCACAACATGAAAAACTTGCGAAAAATCAGAGGAGATAACTACTGTGCATTGAGGGCAGTTTTATTTCAGATTCTCAGCCAGGGTTTACCTCTTCCATCATGGATAAGAGAACAGGATGTAACTAAGGTAACTTGATTTTTGTAAAGGATATACAGACAAGTGTTGCATTGCAATCTATTGAAACACTGAATGGCTGTCAACTGCATATTTTACCCTTTTTTTTATGTACACGAAAAGAATGCTACATTTCAATTAGCTTTTTGAAAAATGATATATCCTGAAATAATGGCACTTTTGTTTGTAATGCACCATATTTTCCTCTAAAGAAGATTTTATATTTGTGTTCAAAAGCATACCTAAGGTACATTTACTATCAAATGATATTCTGTCTTTTACTTCTTTCTTTCCATTAATCATTATTTGTAAGAGGGGGTTTTGGAAGTGTTCGGTAGTGGATCTCAGCTGCTGCCACCATATTTTGGAATATTGCAGATGTTTTTGTTGAACATGGTGCATTGTACAAATTTTGGGGTAAATACACAAAATTCTGAACTCACTGGCAGTTCTGTTAGTGACCTGTGAGAAACAGATTAACATCAAGTTTATAAACTGGATCTAAAACCGGCTTACACATAGGAGACAAAGGGTGATGGTGGAAGGTTGTTTTTGTAATTGGAACCATGTGACCAGTGGTGTACCACAGAGATGAGTGCTGGGACCCTCGCTGTTTGTTATGCACATTAACGACTTGGATGTGAATGTAGAAGGTTTAGAACATAGAACAGTACAGCACAGTACAGGCCCTTCGGCCCATGATGTTCTGCCGACCTATTATCCTACTCTAAGATCAAAGAACTCTGCGTACGCTACATTTTACTATCATTTAATATGTAAGTTTGCAGATGACATGAAATTGGGGGTGTTGTTGATAGTGAAAAAATACAGTGTGATATTAATCAGCTGATAAATTGGGCAGATGGAATTTAATCCCAATACACGTGAGGTGATTCATTTTTTGAGATCTAACAAGGGAAGGATATAAACAATGAATGGTAGGTTCCTAGGGAGTACTAAGGAACAAGGGGCCTTGGTGTATAAATCTATAAATCCATGAAGGTGTCAGCACAGGGCAGAGTAGACAGAGTGATGAAGAAGGCATGGGGGATGTTTGTTGTCATTAACCGGGGCATAGAATATGGGAGCAAGGAAGCCTTGTTACAACTTTATAAAACATTGGTTAAGTCATAGATGAATACTGTATGTAGAGTTCTGATCACCACACTATCAGAAGGACGTGATTGCACTGGAGAGGGTGCAGACGAGATTCACCAGGATGTTGCCTGGGATGAAAAGTCTTAGTTCAAGGAGAAACTGGATAGGTTGGGTTAGTTTTCGTTGAACCAGAGAAGGCTGACGAGGGATCTGATTGAAGTGTACAAAATTACGACAGGATTGATTGTGAGAATCTCTTCTCCCATGGCAGATGTGTCTAAGACCAGAGGACATACGTTTATGGTGAGGAGCAAGTGGTTTCGAGGAGATCTGAGAAAATTTATTTTCACCCAGAGTCTGGTAGATAAATGGACTGTGCTGCCTGAGAGGGCAGTAGAGACAAGTACTGTCATAACACTTAAGCATCTGGATGAGCTCTTAAATGCCAGGGCATGGTAGGCTTTGGACCAAGTGCAGCTATGTGGGATTAGTGTAGTTTAGTGTTTGTTGGTCAGCACCCTACCAGACTCTATAAACTGACTTAGCAAAATGAATCGGCTTCAACAAGACATAAAGCATGGCCATTCAAGACAGAAATGAGAAGGAATTTCTTTACTCAGTGGTGAATCTATGGAATTTTCTATGCAGAAGCTGTGGAGACTGAGATTCATCATTTGACAGAAGTCAATAGCTATGATTAAAGAAATGAAGTGGTATGCAGAATTAGCCAGCACAGGAAAATAGAATTGAGACAAAAAATATTAGCCATGATCTAGCTGAAAGGTGGAGCAGGCTGGAGAGGTTGAATGGCCTACTTCTCATATTTTCGATCCTCCAAAGAACCATTAAGCCCTGTATGTGATACAAGCACAGCAAATATTATTTTCTGTGCAACTATTTTGAAAATTACAAGGCTCAATCATTACTCAGTTTAATCTTTACTCATGCACCATTTGAACACATTTGATTGATGGTTGAAATGTAAGAAAAGAGATCATTTTATTTCTTTAACTTCATTTCTAGATTCCTGAAAGAGTATTTACACAAGGCTGCAACTGGGTACAGCAGTACAGTTTTGGTCCTGAGAAATACACTGGGAATAATGTGTTTGGAAAACTACGCAAGTACCTGGAATTTCTTAAAGTGCAGGTAAAGTATTTGCGTAGAAATCAAGATTAGCCAGAAGTAGACAACTCAGTCGTCAAAGACTGGAACGAATTACACATGAGCACTTTTCATCATCAAGATGTTCCGAAGTGTTTTGCTGTAAAGTAATAAATTTTGACTTGTATTCACTGATATTTTGCAATCAAATCTGACAATCCGATTAACAGCAATGACGAGCGATCAGCTAATTATATATTTTAGAGCGAACTTTGTGCAAAATGTTACAATGCGCTGAAACAGTTGCAAAGTTCTGTAGACAGTGCTGTCATTTAAAAGGACTCCTACATAAACTAAGTGTGAGGGTCCGTTTGCTCTCTCCAGAGGGTTGCATGTTTTTGACACTGTATTCTATGAAAAACATACCATAAGCTATCAAGAAGTTAAAACAAAACACAGCATGTTTAAGTGAAATATTGTTTAAACTCCTAGATACATTACAGAATAGTATTGGTTTCATTTCTGTTTTATGTTTTATTGTGCATATTCCCAGTTTATTTTTCAGTTTATTTAAGTAATTACTTCTTCCTCTTGCAAATTTAATAACAAGAGAATTTAGTCTCTTATCACTTTCTGACTTCACATTGGCTGTCTCCTCTTAATCTTTCTCCCGAGCTGTATTTCAGTGTCTCATCTACGTTGTACTTGCTTACTCTTCCTTCAGCCAAGGTTTTACATTAAACCCTACCAGTTAATTGTAATTAAACTGCTGTAACAAATTTAGGATCAGTATAAGTGTATACCACGTAGTATATTCTGCAATGTTTCTTTCTAAAGTTTCACCCTTTATTGTTTATTTCTTCATTCATCCAACCAAATTTTATTTCTTCACATTTTATTTCATCTTGAGATCTGTCTGCCCAATTCATTAACCCACCCAACATTCTTCTGAAGTGTTTCCAGCATTTTCTCTTTTTATTTCTGATGTTAGGTGGCTAATTTTATGGTTACTTTGTTTAAGTGAAAAAAGATACAGAGGTGTTGCAGTGGCAAACTTGCTGTCATCTGGCACAATTTCCACATCCAGTGATGTTTGCAAGATATTGGTCAGAGCCTATGTTATTTTATACCCAGATCTTCCTTCAGCATTCCAAGATTCATGTATTCAGGGTCCTGTAGTATTTTCATTTTAATGACTACACCCTCCACACATGTTTTTTTTTAAGAATGGTGCAGTGGGTCAAAAACAAATTGTGAAATAATCATTTGGTAATACAGAATTGTGATTGTTGAGAAAGGTGAATTTTCTCAAAGCTTTTTGTATTGCATTCATAAGGACAATCTGCAAGAAATACCATAGTAAAGGGAATACAGCATTTATACTCTGAGAGCAGAGTGCTGATTAATTGGACTCTGATAGAGGCATTGCCATGGGGAACATGTTAGCTTATGATGACTGACCATTACCTGCCAACCTTTGTTTAAATTTTCAGCCTATTACAACTAGTAGGTTACTAAGATTAATGCTATTGATAAATCCATTGTAATGTCTGCATTGTTCTACTATCTACTTTTCATGACTGACCCAGAGGTTGATCCATTTTCTAAACTGTTATGTTTTCGTTTGAACTGCCTGCTTACTCTTAATCTGCATGTGTGTGTGTGTGTTGTGCATTACTTCTCATATTTTTTAACTAATGAACTCACTTGTTTGTTTACCCAGGAAAGTCTGGTTAAATTGGCCCTTTTTAAACCAAAAATTCATTTGGTCTGGGTGAAAGGATTCCATCCTTGTGGATACTTTTTTTTAATTAGCATCGTTACAACCAACGGAGAGGGAGGGCAAATAGGGAAGGGGAGCTTGTTTATCCCTCACCTGCGAGCTTAATCATATGCAATATCCATTTGGAACCACATTAAATTGAGGAACTTTGCTCCAGAATTGCATGTAAAAAGTAACATAGAGAAAGCAACACAATAACAACCCTCATCAACTGGTCATCAGGGTAGTGTTGGCTCACCGATGACCCAATGGAGAGGAACGCCCGAAAGCACATGCTTCCCGGACTTTGGCTGATGCCGAATGCAAATATGCCCAGATAGAGAAGGAAGAGATGGCGTTGGCACTTCCACTATCTGCAAACTGACCCCACTACCAAAGACATTTTTCCCTCCCCACCCTCATCTGCTTTCCGGAGGGACCACTCTCTCCGTGACTCCCTTGTCCGCTCCATACTCCCCACCACCCCCGGCACTTTTCCCTGCAACCGCAGCAAGTGCTACACCTGCCCCTACACCTCCTCCCTCATCCCCATCCCAGGCCCTAAGAAGACCTTCCACATCAAGCAGATGTTCACCTGCACATCTGCTAATGTGGTATACTGTATCCGCTGTTCCCGTTGTGGCCTGCTCTGTATCGGGGTAACCAAGCGGAGGCTCGGGGACCGCTTTGTGGAAAACCTACATTCGGTTCGCAACAAACAACTACACCTCCGAGTCACAAACCATTTCAACTCTCCCTCCCACTCCTTGAACGACATGTCCATCCTGGGCCTCCTGCACTGCCACAATGATGCCACCCAAAGGCTGCAGGAATAGCATCTCATATTTTGCTTTGGAACCCTGCAGCCCAATGTTATCAATGTGGACTTCACAAGCTTCAAAATCTCCCCGAACCCGATGGCATCCCAAAACCAGCCCAGCTCGTCCCCGCCTCCCTAACCTGTCCTTCCTCCCACCTATCCCCTCCTCCCACCTCAAGCCCCACCCCCATCTCCTACCCACTAACCTCATCCCGCCTCCTTGACCTGTCCGTCCTCCCTGGACCGACGTAACCCCCCCCTAACTCCCCACCTACACTCACCTTTACTGGCTCCAATCCCGCCTCTTTGACCTGTCTGTCTCCTCTCCACCTATCTTCTCCTTTATCCATCTTCTATCCGCCTCCCCCTCTCTCTCTTTTTATTTCAGAATCCCCTTCCCCTCCCCCATTTCTGAAGAAGGGTCTTGACCCGAAACATCATCTTTCCTGCTCCTCTGATGCTGCTTAACCTGCTGTGTTCATCCAGCTCTACACCTTGTTATCTCAGATCAAAATTGTCTGTCTTTGAGTTTCTTTCTGTCTAGCTTTTCTGCAAAAGGTTCTGCTATATCAACATCTTCTGAAATTTGAATTAATGAGAAGTCTTGCTTTGGAGTTTCACCAAATTGCTAGATTGGGAAATAGTCATATCGATGCAGTACAGCAGCTATTCTGATGTCAAGGCTTAACCTTTTTGATGAGGATAGGAAGAAGTACTATTCTACAAAACAGTCAAGGAACTTAAAATGGGGCACTTTCACCCTTGGCACTACCATCTCTTATGTTTTGAAATTCTAATGTCTAGCCATAGATTTTTATTTTTCTGTCATGCTATTTGACTGTATACCCTCCTTACAATTAGTCAGTTGATTAGATAACTGTTAGACCAATTTCTTGCACTCTGAATAAAAATGTATTCAATTTGTTCCAGTGGATCAACATTCATGGAATTAAAGACCAAGGGAAAAGAATAGAAATATGTATGAAATTATTCAGTGAGCAGGAGAATGAATACAAGATGTTTGAAGCAATGAAATTTCTTATGTTGTATGTTGTGGTTGAGCTTTATGACGACATGAAAAATGGAGAAGACGTTCCCAGCTTTTGTTCTTTTCTCTTCGCTCGTGATTCTTCACCTGATCCTTTAAGTTTCATGTTGAACCACCTCAACTGTGTTGGTGACACAGGTGGACTGGAGCAGGTATGTACTGATTATGGTTTGGACTCTCTAGAAATTTTCTTTGTTTGTGTAAATGCAACATCATGAATCTGCATTTGGAATAGCCATAACGTGCAAATATAAATGCTACATGCCTCGGGTCTAACAATTAACTATTCCATAGTACAATATGTGTAACACTGTAATTGATTATAGATGATACTATTTTCAACGTGAGACACACTTTTTTTCATTGTAATCTACTAATCTGATTTATGACCAAGTGAAAAGTTTACAGAAATGAGCAATGCAAAGGAGGTATTAGCATACAGAACTAAATGTGTAGAGGTTGTTTGCATGGGTTAAATAAACAACCTGTTTGTTCCATACAGATGTATAATTTTTTGATGTGAATGTCTGGTTCCATTTGTAGCATTACAATTTTGGCCTGTTTGCCGTCTGTGAAAGAAAATATTTCTTTTTGCTCAGCTGAGTTACACGTTAAGTCACCAAACATTAGGTCGGGAAAGAGGTGAAATCTCAAAATACATTTTTTTATTTGAAGTGAAGCAACATTGTGTAGATTATGTCAGCAAGAAAAATGGCCTAAGTATGAATCCTTGAGAGACTCCTGCAGTGTTGAGGAACAGAGGCTATTGCTAAAGATGTACTGATGTTCGGATAGGTGATAGTGGATTCCAACAAGGCTAGCCTCATCAAGCTAGAGAAGAAGCATTAGAGGCCATGATTGACACGTAAAGGCTGTGTAGATATCGAGGAGCATAATACACTTTGGTAAAAATCCACAGAATGTAACTTGCGACCTTTAGTTTTGGGCCGCTTAAGTGTTCTGAGTAGTCGAACTGGATGGATTCCAACATAGTGAAAGAGAGCTGGGCATGGCTCTGGAAATGATAACTTCAAGGCTCTTTGTGAGAGGAAAAGAATTTTAAAAGGTGGATGGTTATTAGTGGTGAGGGCAGAGGCACTTTCTTTGTGCAGAGGGAAAATGAGCCAGATAGGAAATATGATTGTATGGTAATACCTCAATTATACTTGAAATAAAATCTGACTAAAAGTGGAAATTATTCTGTGTGTTTGATTATTTCTTTTCCTTCTAGATTGAAATGTTTCTCCTTGGATTCACACTCAATTTGAAGATCAAAACCTTCAGACTGTATAAATATGGCACTGAAGAATTTGAATCTTGTTATCCTGTAAGTTGCCATAGAGAATGGCATGAAGTTCTTCTTCTGACGGAGGATGACCGGCATTATAATGTTCCTATTGCCTGGAGCTGAATTATGTTAGTGAGATGTTGAGGAAACATTTTATCCCCAATGTAAATGTCTTGGATATTTATATTGGCTTAATGTTATGATGACCATACAAACCTTGTAGCAGCAAAGTATTACTTAAATTTTGCATTGAAACACTTTTTTTGGATGAATTTGTAATTTTACCAAATGCTACAAGTCTGAAGGTGTTCTGTAAGATGCAAATCTTTATCTCAAGAATGAAAAACTCAAACTCGTAAGCAAAAATAACACATTTTATAAAGACTGAACCAATTGAAGTTTTAAATCTCTCTTGCTGCCATATTTTTTCCAAGTTTCTGCACACTAATAGCGAATTAAGTTTCTTATCCTCCTCCACCAATATTTATCCGTGTAGGGTGAGGCCCACATCATGTGAAAAGCCTGACTCTGAAGGTTGAAATCAGGTGTACTTCCTCATGGATCTCTGGGGGCATCAAACATGGTGCCAAGTCATATTTGCCTCCTTTTCCCTCTCCTTGCCCTCTCAAATCAAGCTGCCACTCATGTCACCAGGCCTTGCCAGGTTGGCCCAGGCAATACTCAAATGTACCTGAAAGCTTGGACTCCTCTTTGTTGATGCTGGCTGTAGTTGCAGCAGTTATCACTGCTCCTGCCTGTTGCTACTGGTACTAGAGCTTGCTGGCCAATCAGATGAACTGGAGCAACTTTCCAAAGTGGGATTTCCTCATGAGTCAGTGTCTTGACTGATATCACTTAAATTGATCCAGGGAACCAGTCCGGATTGTGGGCATGTTTGCTCCCAAGTCATTGGCTAGGGATCAGAAATCATAGCACCCTAAAATACCTGAATTATTGTAACTTTTTATTGGCCTGCCTAACATCATTATAGGAGCACCATTACTACAAGCAGTGATTCAAGGAGAAGGCTTATCATTTTCTCTCCGAAGATTTAGAATGGGAAATGAGAGAGGGCAAGTTAGCTTGAACAAAAGAATATCTTGTGGCGTTGACACTTAATGTATCTTCCTGCTTCCATGTGATATCTCACTTCTAAAGTTGACCATTAATTTCAGTCAAGCTGCATACAAAATTTTCAGTTTAATATTTCATCCAATACTTTGCATTTCAAATTACTTAGCACTCCCAGTAATGCATTGAAATTTCAGCTTTTACACATTATATTCTAGGTCCTTTGCATGTATCCTGAACAAACGTCTTTATACCTCTGAATAGAATGCAACCACTTGGACAAACTAAGTTCCGAAGGCATGGTTTTATTTTGGATGGCAGGGTTTCTGCACCACCGCCTGAAGTGCTGGGAGGAAACAGTTTCCCCACTGACCACAGCAGTCCTGTAACTATTGAAGGCTCCAAGGAGCATTAATTATATGGGAGGCAATGGCCTAGTGGTATTATCGCTGGACTGTTAATCCAGAGACCAGGATAACATTCTGGGGACCGGGGTTCAAATCTTACCACAGCAGATTCCAGTGGAATTTCAATTCAATAAAAATATCTGGAATTAAGGATCTAATGATGACCATTGATTCATTGTCGATTGTTGGGAAAAACCCACCTGGTTCACTAATGCCCTTTAGGGAAGGAGACTGCCATCCTTACCTGGTCTGGCCTACGTGTGACTCCAGACCCACAGCAATGTGGTTGACTCTGAACTGCCCTCTGGGAAATTGGGGTTGGACAATAAATGCTAGTCAGTGACGTCCTCAACCCATTAATGAAAAAAAGTTGACATAAGCAGAATAGCCCAACCTTGCTCTTAATTGATATGTGTGTATGTTTATCCTTCGAGAAAGCTAGGAAGGGGCAATAAAAGTGGCCAAGAAATCCTGGACTCCAAGACCAAGTAAGTGCTCAGGTCTTGCAGTAGGTACCGGTGGTGAGGTTTGGCTCCAGGATGGTGGGAAAAGATGGATGGGAGGTCTTCATGGATTAGCTGGGGGAGAAGCATGTGTGGAAACAGATATTATGGGGCATCCAATATTAAAAAAGCCCCTTGATTCAAGGCCCACGCAGACTGACCTATTGGTCACCCTATACTCCTGAACTCATTCTAATGTGGGCCTCAAAATTGAGGTTAGCCGGGAAGCGGCCCACTTGGGGCGAGAATTAATGAGCCTTAAATAACCACCCCGCACTTGTAAAATTGTGGACAGGCTGGAGGCACGCATGAGAGCCAATCATGAAATTTTGGGTGTCCTCCCTCTCAGTAAGGGTCTATAAAATTCTGCCCTAATGCTTGTTTTCAGTCTTAGTTTGCGGTGCTGTTGATCTGATTAGTTGAAAATCTATGACAACTACGTTATACTTTGTTTCTGTATTTAAAACTTAACACCAATAATCCTCTACCATTGAGGCGTTGCTCATTCATTTTGCATCATACTTGACAGTGGTTCAATACACAAGACAGTGAAATAAATAATTTTGTATTTTGATGAAATGACTGTACGTAAAACAGTATTGTGTTCATGGTAAAGCTCTTTGTTTACGTGACATTGTAAAAATGGTAGTTTTTCTTTTTGTGACTTGCATTTGTTTCTTGCTGTATTCTTTTCTCTTCACACCCGACCTGAAACATTGTCCCTTCTGAGAGAAAAAAATGGTTACATTACTTTATTACTTAGATCAATCTTTTAGATAGCCTATTCTTTTGTAAGTGTCCCAATATTGGTACTAGTGAAAACACCAGCTTTCAGAGGAGTTTTTGTTTGTTTGTTTCTTGATGGCAACTTGGAAAATGTTTGTTTCTACAGATGAGTTTTCCATATTTGCAGTGAATTTATTTAGTCACAGGGGTTAGAGGAATTTATGTGATATTTGAACATTTAGATGATATATTATAAACAAATGAACAAGAAAAATATTTTTTAAAAGATTAGATACTTGTATATGTAAAAACTTATTTCCATTTCTTTCTCTATTTCTTTCACTCTTAGAAATATGTGGTGGTGACTTGAACATAAATCATTTATGTATGTAATACTTCTGTATATTTTGTTCACAAAGTTTTATGCTTCTAATAATGAAAACTGTTTGCTACTTTTAACATTAACTTTAAGTTGTGGATAATTATACATTCTTATGCTGTCAACAAAAGCTCGTTATTTCTTAAAGGAGGATAGTCATTTGGAGTGAATTTTCTAGTTAAGCTTGGTGCTAAGCTTGCGGCATTTAATACAAAACTGCATAATTGCATTTTTTACAAATTGGTTTTAAAATTGTGTACTCAATTTTTCTTGGCGAGTATAAGTTAAAGCATTTGTTTTGATGTATTTGAGTATTTGTTGGATTAACATGTTGAAATTGGCCATGATTAAGAAAGTATTTTTAAAATCCTTTTTTAACTTCATTTTTTTGATAATTACTAAAGAAAAGATATCTTGTCAAACCTTGTCTTGGGGCAGCTTGGTGGCTCAGTGGTTGGCACTGCCGCGTAACAATGCCAGGGACCCAAGTTCAATTCGGCCCTCGGGCTGTGGAGTTTGCACGTTCTACCTGTGTCTGCTGAGTTTCCTCTGGGTGTTCCGGTTTCCTCCCACAGTCCAAAGATGCGCAGGTTAGGTGGATTGGTCATGCTAAATTGCCCATTGTGTCCAGGGATGTGCAGGTTGATTAGCCATGGGAAATGCAGGGCTATGGAGATGCGGGACAGGGATGCGTGTGGATTTGGTTGGGATGTTTTATGGAGGTTTGGTGTGGACTCAATGAACTGAATGGCCTGCTTCCATGCTGTTGGGAATCTATGATGCTATGAAATGTAAGGCGTTCGATAAGGCTCCGCATGATAGACTGGTTAGCAAGATTAGATTGCATGGAATACAGGGAGAACTAGATATTTGGATACAGAACTGGCTCAAAGGTAGAAGACAGAGGGTGGTGGAAGAGGGTTGCTTTTCAGACTGTGACCAGTGGTTTGCCACAAGGATCGTTGCTGCATTCACTGCTTTTTGTCATTTATATAAATGATTTGGATGTGAACATAGGAGGTATGGTTCTCTACTTAGCTGAAATGCTCCTGTCCAGGCAACATCCTGATCAATCTCCTCTGCACCCCTTTATTGCGATCACATCCTTCCTATAGTCTGGCAAACAACACTATACACAGTACTCCAGCTGTGCAATCACTAAGTTGTTACGTGGCTCCATCATAACCACCCTACTCTTGAATTCAGTGCTTTGACTAATAAATACAAGTATCCCATATGCCTTCTTAACCATCTTATCAACCTGTCCTGTTGCCTCCGAAGATCTGTTTTCATGCACATCAAGATCCGTCTGATCATCTGTACTTCCTAGAGTATTAACAATGTATTTTGTATACTTTTGTATTCCAAATGCATCACCTCACACTTTTCAGGATTAAATTCCATCTGCTACTATTCAGCCATCTTACCAGTCCATCTATATCATACTATAGTTTAAAGCTTTGCTCCTTGCTAATTACCACACCAACAATTTTTGTGTCAGCCGCAAACAATGATCGAACCTCTTACATTCATGTCTAGATCATTACAAACAGCGAAGGACCCAGCCCAGAACCCTGTGGTATGCCACTAGACACCAGGTTTCCAGTCAGAAAAATGACTCTCAACAATCACCCTTTGCTTCCTGTCACTAAAGCAATTTCAAGTCATGCAGTTATGCAGCACAGCAGATCCTTCAGCCCAATGCATTCATGCCAACCAGGTATCCTAAACTTAACTAGTCCCATTTGCCTGCATGTAGAGAATATCCCTCTAAACCTTTCCTATTCATGTACCTGTCCAACTATCTTTCAAATGTTGTAATTACACCCGCCATTACCACTGTGCTGTCACCTCTTTCACCAGTCTCCCATGCGAACCTTGTCAAAAACCTTACTGCAGTCTATGTAGACCACATCCATTGCACTACTCTCATCTACACAAGTCACCACCTTGAAAATCTCAATCAAATCTGTCAGATGTGATCACCCCCTGACAAAACCATGCTGACTGTTCTTGATTAATTCTCGTCTTTCCAAATGGCAATTAATTCTGTCCCTTGAATATTTGCTTCCCAATACTTAACCTACTGCTGATGTTTACCACACTGGCCTCTAGTTTCTGGGTTGTTCCTACTATGCATCTTGAATAATGGTACCAAATTAGCTGTCCTGTAGTTGTCTTCGTACCTCTCCTGTGTCCAGAGAGAAATTTGAAAATTAATGTCAGGGTCCCTGCAGTCTCCTCCCTTGCACTCCGTAGAAGGCTGGAGTACATGTCCTCTAGGCCTGGGGTCTTATCCAATTTTAAGCCTTCTAGTATATGCTCTCAATTGTAATTTCTTCTTCTCTGATTTTGACACCTACATCATTCTTCTCTGTTGTGAATATTCATTATTTAAAATAATTTAAAATGGTTATTTAAAACCTCACTTGCATCTAGATTTGGTTACTATCAGAGTTTGCCATTTAGATCAGTAATGGGCCCTATTTTTCACTGGTTATCCTTTTGCCTTTAATAAAAAAATTATAAAACGCCTTTGGACTTTCCTTTTATCTTACCCAGCAGCGTTTTTTTTAAATATTTGTCTCCTCTTCACTTTCCTCATTTTTTTTAAGTAACCCCCTGCACATTTCTGGGGCTTCTGTTGTTCTTACACCTTGGTATCTATCATAAGCTTCCCTTTTCTTCCTTATCCAATCCTGTACATTCCTTGATATTCAGGGTTTTCTGGGTTTTGTTTCACATTCTTTACTTCTACAGTACGTTGGCCCTGCACTTTCACTATTTTCTTTTTGAAAGACTCCCACTGCTCCAATATAGATCTTCTTACAGTAGCTGCTCCTGGTCCACTTTGTCCAGATCCTGTCTCATCATGTTAAAATCGACCCTCCAATAATTCAAAAGCTTTTATTTCTGGTCCATCTTTGTTCTTTTCCATCTCTTTAGCTTACGTCTTACAGAAGATGGTCACTGTCATTGACATTGCTCTCCTACTGACACTTCTACCTCTTGCCCAGCTCTGTTCCCTAAAATTAGGTCCAGCACTGCTCCGTCTCTTGTAGGTCTTTCTGTGTACTGGCTTACAAAGCTCTGTTGGTTACTTTTTAAGAATTCCATCCTCTGAGCCTTTCACATTTTGTCTATCCCAGTTAATATTGGGGGAATTGAAATCACCTCCTATTATTACCCCATTATTTTATGCTTCCCTGTAATTTCCCTACCAATCTGCTATTCTGTCCCTTCCTGACTGTCTGTGGGTCTCTAGTACACTCCTAACATTGTAATTATCCCCTTTTTGTTTTTAAGTTTGATCCACGTAGTCTCAATTAAGGAGGGCTATTTGGTGCAGTAATTGTATCCCTACCACTGAGGTGGAAGACCTGGGTTCATGTACCTAGGGGTGCATAATAATGTCTGCTGAACAAGTTAAATCAAAAATTTAGTGGGCCCTCCTGTGACATGGTGGTAGTGTCCCTGCCCCTGGACTGAGAAGCCTGGGTTGAAGTCTCACCTGCTCCACGGATGCCCCAGCACCTTCAACATTTGTCACTGCATCCATTACTTTCAACATCTTTAACATTCTGAAAGCACCCCCTCCTTAATAAATAGCAATGTGTTGACTGTCTCTGAAAGGCAACAATGTATACGTGGACAAAGATACAGTGGTGACATTTAGAGCTCTATAAAATGCAGTTATTTTATTAAGTACTTAAAAGAATAACACACTTTTTAACTACTAGAGATATCTCAATCACTGTCTTTCACTACGCTGGTTTCTGTTACTAATTACAAACATTATTACCCAGGAGAGTTGGTAGCTGGCTAGTCTGAAACTCTGCTCAACATCTTCACCACGCCTCCTGATATGGGGTACCTCCTGCAGTGTTAAGGTTTCAAGTTCTGCTGAAAAATCAAGGGTCTTTATACACAGGTCTCTGTGCCAAGTATATGCCTTATTTGGATTTATCCCCCATGCACGTGTCCAATCCTGAATGTTTTTTGTCCAAATATGTGCCTTATTTGGAAGAAACAATGGTTACTGAATTCCTGCTATCCTAGTGCTTAGCTGACCTGAATGACTTAGCATAATTCTACTCCCCTGACAGACCATTGTAAAGCTTTTTATCAGTTCCTGTCATCCAACATCTCTCTGTTTTTGATCCAAAGATTTATCTGAGGATGATCCCAACTGGGTTTGCTACATATTTCACGGCACCCCCAAACAGTGGTGAGCATTATCTCATAACAGCAATGTACTCTCAGCAAACCATTACTGCATTTGTGTTATTTGAAATGCCATTTAGATTATTGTACTTATCAAAATGGACAGTCATAAATGTAAGCGAAGTTCCAAATCAGTTTATAATATCTTATTTTCCTTTTGCTCTGCGGTAAATACATTGTTACACGCTTTCTACATCTTGCAAGATATACATAATATCAATACAAATGATAAATTAACTAATAGAAAGAAATACTATGAATTTGCTATGTCTACACTATTCCTATCGTATAATTAGCAACCATTACAAACCCTTGTCTATACGAGCTACATTTTGGTGTCTGAGACCGATCCCTGTTGTCAATCCCTTCCATTTCTTAACTTTCCATTTTAACAAGCAAAATAAGACTGTTACAACAATAAGTATAACAAATTGTCACACAACAATCATGAGACAAAATTCTGATCCACGACTGGACCTGAGCATTCAGTCCCTAATTTACAAGGCCCTATCTGCCTCTTCTACATGAGTTTTAATCTCCTTCTCGTGTATAGCCTATTTATGGATAACTTCCTTTGCTTCAAAAATGATCTTCACCCAGTCTTTAGTAAAGTGTGGAATAGGTGCAAGTTTAGTGGCTACAAACTGGCATGGATCTTCGTCCTTATCATTTGAGTGGATAGACAAAGTTGTGTGCAGTTTATCATCAGGTTCTGACTTGAACAAAATTTGATGGTTAATGGTTAAGTCAGAAGAGCTATTGCCAATAGCCACATTCTGTCCATTCAGGCCACACCATGTTCATCCTTTCTGGTATTCTGAGGATGCTGTGGTGACATAGTAGGTGCCTCCTATCAGGGCATACGTAAGAAAAAATTGGTTATTCACCGGCAGGATAGATAATGAGCAGTTCTCATAAGAGGCAAATCGACACTGATTTAACCCTTCTTTGATCATTTCTTCCGGACATGCCCAGTGGTTTCCCCCTTGATGGCATTGGGACAAATCCACCCCTCCCCACCTTGGATCCCTCTAGAACTTTGTAGCATAGGTTGGTGGGTTGCTTAATGATGTCCAAGTTCCTTCGTGGTATTTACCCATGTTATGAACTCGCATTAGAGGTTATTTGGGTAAGTGAAGCACTGC